ATGCATATAAGAGAGTAAATGTACAACAGATAAATAAACTTACTGGATCAAGCCATACTAAATGTTCCCAACACTGTTGAAATGAGATATCCACACTATGGAATAATTCTCTACTCTTAATACTATTTGTGATGTACTCAACATACGCAATAGCGTCTACAATGCGTCTCTTCTTCGTACAGATGATGATACGATTAAAATTAGCATAAACAATTGTTGATCCAAGGCGCTTGAATTCTGCCACTAACTGTAGGAATAACTTCTGCATCAAGCTATGCATAGTTCTTCGAAGAGCAGGGTCATATAATAATGCACTAGGGGATCGCAACCACCTAAGTCAGTAGGAAAATACAACAGATATGTGAATGAACTAATAGTTCTTTGAAGAGCAGGGTCATATAATAATGCACTAGGGGATCGCAACCACCTAAGTCAGTAAAAAATACAACAGATATGTGAATGAACTAATAGTTCTTGAAGAGCAAGGTCATATAATAATGAACTAGGGAATCGCAACCACCTAAGTCAGTAAAAAATACAACAGATATGCGAATGAACTAATAGTTCTTGAAGAGCAAGGTCATATAATAATGAACTAAGGAATCGCAGCCACCTAAGTCAGTAAGAAAATACAACAAATATGTGAATGAACTAATAGTTCTTGAAGAGCAAGGTCGTATAATGATGCACTAGGGGATCGCAACCACCTAAGTTAGTAAGAAAACAACAAATATGTGAATGAACTATTGGAATCTGAATTAAAACCGTTTCTGATGATAACTTACCTATAGAACTGCATAATTTGATAATCGGCAAAAACATTCTTGTACGTTGTAACATCTCTCAACCATCCATGCACCATACTTTTCAATATTCTGTCAGATAAAAATGTTTCATATATATATATAACAAGTTATAATGCTTGAACACATAATTTAATGCTGGATGGCAGTCTACCAACAGTTCTGAAGTAAGACAATAGAACATTTTTATAACAATAATGGAGAACCCTCATCGACATATTGGATTAGGAATTAATCCTACGCAAGATGGTGTGAGAGCAGCAGACAGGCCGATTATTGAATGTAGAATCAAACTCCATTATTGTTATTATGATTTGCAATCAGAATGTGTTAGTATTTATTCCATGTGATATCACATATTTGGGCATGTTTTACAAACAAAAACCAACTAGTCCATAGTGTAAGACACTGTGGCTCATGAACCTGAATGTAGGTAACAGACTACGTTAAACCCCAGACTAAAATACGCAAAGACAACACATCACAACACCGGAATTTCATTTTTGAATTTAACTTCAAAATGTAGTGCAGATTGAAGGCCTGTGGAACACACACTGAATACAGTGCAGTACTTACTTTAATGCTACTGAACACTGTGCAGTACTTACTTTAATGCTACTGAACACAGTGCAGTACTTACTTTAATGCCACTGAACACAGTGCAGTACTTACTTTAATG